AGAGGTGGGTTGCTCCCAGTTTTACTACTGGTTTGCTTCATGCGCGCTTTGCGCACTTTGGGCATCGCAGTGCACATGTGCGCAGTTCAATGTAAATTGTTCTTTGTGCATGCGCAGAACAATTTAATGTGAAATGCGCAAGCACACACACTACAAAACAACATGCCAGCAATGGCAGCAGAGACCAGGAAATGGGGTTGGGGGCATGGCCAGCCTGGGTCGCTGCCAGTTCCACGACCCAGGCCAAAAAAACACTACTGGTTTGGCCGAACTGGGAGCAACCAAACTCTGGACCACTGCCTTGGTAGCAGCTCTTCCTCCTGTCCTTCAAAGTCATTCCCTCTGCTGCCTACAGATGAAGGCAATTCAATGAAAGTTAAAGCAATATCAGCAGTATTTTGATAGCACCAGTCTCCACACAAAAGGGCAGCTTCAAGAAGAGTACATCCCTCCCTTTAAAAAAAAATCACTCAGGCTTTTCAAATATGACTTTTACCAGCCCCAAATTGGAGACTAATTTCTATACTCTATGCTGACAAAATAACTATTCTCTTCGCTCACCCAAACTGGACTCCAATGTAGCCATCAGGGCTTGGCTGCACATTGCTAAATTAGGAGACAAATTATTCAAAAATGAAAGTGTTGATTTTCCCCAAGCAGGTATGTGAAATTGGTAGCTACCCCACTGAGCTAGTGAAAGTATTTAAATATCTTGGCATCTATTTCCACTTTCTGGATATGGCAAACCTGACAGCTCACAGTCTGAACTTACAAAACTGCCTGGGAAGTCATGAGATTAGCTGGCTGCAATGGGAATATATTGCTCCAGGTAGCCATTAATAAGGTGTTGAGCCTACTGTTCCTTGGTGTCCAATTTAGTGCATACTCTGATTATAGTCTTCAACTTACAACCATAACTAGGATCAGAATTTCTGTTGCTAAACAAGAGGGTCGTGCCAATTTTACAACCTTTTTAAAACAATTGTTAAGTGAATCACTGCAGGTGTAAGTGAATCATACAAGGGTTAAACGAATCTGGCTTTCTCCATTGGCTCTGCTTGTCGAAAACCAATTGTAGATGGCAATCACATGACCCCCAAAAGCTGTAACTATTGTAAATATATACTGCCTGCCAAACATCTGAATTTTCATCATCTGACTGTGGGGACGCAGTAACAGTAGCAACTGCAAGGACCCATTGTACAACAGTCAGTAAACAAACGGTTGCAAATAAAGGACTACCTGTATTCACATTTTGAAAGCCATGTGATCTAGAGGACTGGAGGCTAAAACATATAAAGAACAGTTGCTGGAACTTGGTATGTCTAGTTTAATGAAAAGAAGAACCAGGAGTGACTTGATAGCAGTGTTCCAATATCTCAGGGGATGCCACAAAGAAGAGGGAGTCAAGCTATTCTCCAAGGCACCTGAGGGCAGGGCAAGAAGTGATGGGTGGAAACTAATCAAGGAAAGATGCAACCTAGAACTAAGGAGAAATTTCCTAACAGTTAGAACAATTAATCAGTGGAACAAGTTGCCTCCAGAAGTTGTGAATGCTCCAACACTGGAAGTTTATAAGAAGAAATTGGATAACCATTTGCCTTAAATGGTATAGGGTATCCTGCCTAAGCAGAGGGTTGGACTAGAAGACCTCCAAGGTCCCTTGTAACTGTTATCCTATTTATTCTATTCTTGATCTAAACTCATCAGAAGTTTATTATGGGTCTCTCAATTCAATCAGAATATGATTTTTTATTTTTGGATAAAATGTGGATGCCCCTTTCTAGCGCCTCAAATGAGGATTGGTCATCTGAAATACTGGCTAAAACAGGCCCATTTGGGGTGAATTGCTGGCCCGACTGGTTTTGGTAAATAAGGATACTTCCACTTGGAAGATTATTGCCAACAATATGTCCTTCTGTGGCTTTTTTATTCTGGTCCGTCTACGATTGGGAAAAGGCAAATGCATGCAAAAACTTGAGTAAAACATCCTTGAACTAGATAAAGACAGATCTGAAAATCCACCCTACTGTCCAATGGTGAAATTAAAAAAATTTCCCTACCAATTCTATGGGCATGGCTTGGTGGGCATGTGACCGGGTGGGTGTGGCTTGGTGATCATATGACCAAGTGGGCGTGACTGCACAACTGACTCACACACAATGTAAAAGCAGCTGGACTTCACACAAAATGTCCCCTGTAACAAGCAGGAAACTCACAGATTCACAGAGAGCTCAAAAACCAACTATCACACTTTACACAAAATAACACAAAAACTGCACAACTGACTCATACACAATGTAAAAGCAGCTGGATTTCACATAAAATGGCCTCTGCAACAAGCAGGAACCTCATAGACAATCAGGCACAGCTGATTGTCGCACAGCTGATCGTCGGAACTTTTAAAAAACTTTTTAAAGCATTTTTTAACTACCAGTTCACGCAAACGGTAGCATTTTTTACTTCCAGTTCGGGCAAACCAGTCCGAAACAAGTAGCATTTCACCCCTGCTGCTGTCTTAGGGACATCTTCCATACTACTTTCACACACACCCAATTACCACTGTATTTCTGCTACTCAGAGAAGAGCAAAGTTTAATGCTTTACCCCACATGCTGATGGGAGATACAACACACCAACATGCGCAATGTTTCTGCATGTTTTCCAACACTGCAATAACAAATCAGTAAGCCATGTTTTATTTCACTGCTTTTTGTGTTGTGCTCAGTGTGAAGAGATCAAGCTGATAGGAAATTAAAAGTTATTTACTTTTTAACCCGCTGACTTCTCCACTGCAATTCCCAGGAATGAGGCAAAGCTTTGCTCAGTTGCAATGTATTTCATTCTCATGCAGATTAAGGGCAAGACTGAACTTTCACTTCTATCTTTTATTTGTTTTTTTTTAATTATGTTTATGTTATTCTATTTTTGTATCTTTAGAGATTTATTACTAATCCCCCGTATCCTGCTTTTTTGTGCATTGTTTTATTGGCCTCTTGCCATAAATTAATAAATTATATTCTTGCATGTTTTAGTATAAATTATCAGATCTGCTGAGCATTTGTGGTTTTTAACAGTGTAGCTGCTCATTATTGAATTGATTACTGTTAACTGTGTCTTCTAGTATGAGCAATCTAGAAAGCCTTCTGCCATTGCATTTTTTCTTGTATTAATAATTTATTCAAATATTTATCTTTCCTCTACACAATATTAAAATTAAATAAACATTAGATAGGTCTTAATACAATATCTTCTATCAGAAACATTTTTTCCCCTTTTGTTCCAAAGGTGCTTTTTTCTGAAGGAGCTGAAGAAGCTTCTTGGATGAGAAGCAAAATGTCTTCAAAGAAAAACCAAGTCCAGTTGCCGCTTGAAAAAAACACCTTTGGGACAATCAGGATCTGGATGACTGAGAATCTCCACAGGCATTTTTTTTCCTTTTAAAAAAGATAATTTTCTGCCCAGGAAATTAGTTTGTGTAACTATCAGGTTCACACACAGGCACATATATAAACATACAACCTAAGAAACACTAAGAATGCAGCCGCGCGAGCGATTGTAGGTGTACCTCGATACACCCACATTACACCTATCCTCCGCGAGCTGCACTGGCTTCCAATCGGTCTCCGGATACGCTTCAAGGTGCTAGTTATTACTTATAAAGCCCTTCATGGTATTGGACCTGGATACTTGAGAGACCGCCTGCTGCCAATTACCTCCCAAAGACCCATTAGATCGCACAGGGTCGGCCTCCTCCGGGTTCCATCTACTAGCCAATGCCATCTGGCTACAACCCGGGGAGGGCCTTCTCTGTTGCAACTCCGGCCCTTTGGAACGAACTCCCCGCGGAGATTCGGACCCTCACCTCTCTCCTGGCCTTCCGAAAAGCCGTTAAAACCTGGCTATGTCGGCAGGCCTGGGGTTGATGAGCTCCCTTCCCCTCTCGACAGGTGTGGTTGTTGGTTATTTTAAATGTCTGTTTTGTATCTGTATGTTCCCTTTCCCGTTTGAGTTGTTCGCCGCCCTGAGTCCCTATAGGGAATAGGGCGGCATATAAATAAAATAAAACTTCAAACTTCAAACTAATAATACTAAACCAGTTGTTTTTTCATTATTTGCACAAAAACTAGTAGCATCCCAGCATGATTAGAGATCAAGGTTTCTATCCTGTTTCCCTGAAAATAAGACCTCCCAAGATAATACGTCAATTCGGTCTTTTGAGCACATGCGCTAAAATAAGCCCTTCCCCGAAAATAAGACCTCCCTGAAAATATTGCAACACAGCAGCAGCCATGAGGTGACAAATGTTTGCCGCCTCCTGTACCTGAAAAATAATAAGAGATCCCTGAAAATAAGGCCAAGAGCTTATTTTGGGGATCAAAAGAAAATAAGACCCTGTCTTATTTTCAGGGAAACACGGTAGTTATTTTTTTTATTTATAAATGGGCACATTATATTATATGAGCCACGGTGGTGCAGTGGTTAGAGAGCAGTACTGTAGGCTGCTGGCTGCCGGCTGACTGCAATTTGACAGTTCAAATCTTACCAGGCTCAAGGCTGACTCAGCCTTCCAAGGCGGGTAAAATGAGGACCCAGGTTGTTGGAGGCAAAATGCTGACTGTAAACTGCTTAGAGAGGGCTGTAAAGCACTGGAAAGCCGTATATAAATCTCAGTGCTATTGCTATAAAGATTTAGAATTTTTTTTAAAATGGCAGTGTATCATTTTTGTTGTTATTCAGTTGTGTCCAACTCTTCAAGGGAACCAGCTTGCCTTCTTGCCTCTCGATTTAGGTCGTTCCCGGGAACTGCAATATGTTTATGTGGATAATAACGCTCACCTTAAAGGTCTCCCTTCTTACCTTTATAACAAAGTCATTGGTTGTAATGGGACAGTTGACGGTATTCCTTCCAGCAGAGGTGAAGTTAATTGGACCCTGTGCTCCCCTTGCAGGAGGCGGCCATGAGGACCCTGTATAACACCTACTGCCAGTCTCTAAAAGATTTGAAGTTCATGACTCCGATCTCATTACCCAGAAGCCTCCTGGATTTGCTGCACTGCCCTCTGGGACACTGTCACCGTTGCAGTCAGCCCATGTTCACGATTGTCTACCCAAAGCTCTTCCCCTTGAGAGAAATTAAGAGCCAAGGTGGCGCAGGGGTTAAATGCAGCACTGCAGGCTACTGCTAGATCAGCAGGTC